GGGGGGGGGAGAGAGAAACCGGTACATTCGGGGGAGAGAAGGAATAGATTTGGAACTATTTTTATTTATTGTGTCCAGGATTAGTGGCTTTAAAAAAAATATAATTATTGTTATTATAACTGTCTGATCTCACACAACAGCCATAAAAAATGTATTTGTTTTAAAAATTATAAGCATTTACTATTTAATTAATCATGCTAAATATTATTGGGCAAAAAAGAAAGAATCCATGCTTTGATATTTGAACGAAATTACTTTTTCTTACTTTCTGGGCCTGCATTCGCCGCCAGCACCAATAGTTCATGTCTGGATAAAGATCAGGATCTTTAAAAATATAGATTTTTCAAAGCAGACAGATTGGAGCAAGACAATCTTCCTAAACATAATAATTTATTCCTGTAGTGTAAAGTGTAAACTCTGCAATGGTATGTTTGTCCTGTGTATATTCAAATGTGTAATTATTAATACACTGTGTGTCTGTAGGTTATCCATAGATACACTACTTGCAATTGTGGGATAACCTAATAAAAGTGTAATTTATCTAATTAAATGGTAAGATATGTCTGTTTCATGAGGGCTTAATCACTGTTATCAAAAGTTATCAGCCTGACTAAGAAGCTCTTCCAAAAGAAATCCTTTGGTCATTTGACCAGATTTTAAAAAGTGAACTGAAGTCAAAACTTTTCAGCAATCCCTCATATATATCTCACAGCTTGAGGCAATTGTATGTCTAGCCACACTGATAAGCTGTGAAACAGTCTATCTGTGGATGACAAATATATATATATATATATATATATATATACATAGGTTCCTGTTTAGGGTTGGGATTCTAGTTCCTTCTAAAGTCTTCTTATTTTCTTTCACTGTCAGTGATCTTAGTGGTGTTATCACCTTGCTTGGAGTGAATTGATATATATATATATATATATATATATATATGTATGTATATATAATTGTTTATTTGGGTGGCAATACCTATCTTATAAAAGTTTTATTAAAGACGATTGACAAGGTACTGCAATTAAGCTTTTTATTGAATTTTTCTTGCATTCATACAATTATTTTCTTTCATGCTGTGTTTGGAAAAAAAAACATTCCCGTGAATATAAATATACATATATAAAAATTTATATATTCAGTTAAAAAAAAAAAAGCAAACTCCTTGTGAATAGCCAAAAGTGCTTGGAACTATAGAACATTCGGACAGTTTTTGCACACTTTATGGCCAGAAAAGAAAATACTTGTAAGAATGCAAGAAAAATTAAATAAAAAGCTTAATTACGGTACCTTATATATATATCTTACTTATTATAAAACGCAGATTGTGCGTGTGTGTGTGTGTCTGTACGTTTATATATTGGATCAGATTTCCTACATTTTTCAACCGATTTCAACAAAACTTTACAGGACTGCGTAAAATTTACCTTGCGGTGGTTCTGACAGTGCCAAAAATTGGAAAAACACAATTGTTTTTGCACGAAATCAATTTGAAAACATGATAAAATACGATTCTGTCGCCAGAATGAAAGGGGGACAACTCATATCGAGTTATACTTATTATAAAACCCAGGTTGTTTGTGTGTGTGTGTGTGTGTGTGTGTGTTCGTTTATATATGGGATCGGATTACATTTTTCAACCGATTTCAACAAAACTTCACTTTTTTTTGGCAGGTAGTGTTTCTTATTGTCTTGCACACTTTTTCTTTTATTTTACATTCAGAATGCTTTAAAATTCCATTTACAAGACAATTGTTTATAATAAAATTCTATTCAATCAGTAGAGACTCATAACGATTGAAAACAATGTTTTTGTTTGAGTTTGACCAATTCGTACCCCCCCCACCAAAAAAAAAACTAATTAGGACATGCGTGTCCGTCAACTTTAAACAATAATCTTTGTCAATTTTATTTTTCAGTCTTTATGATGGTCGATACTTGATCTATCTCTTTTACTATTACATCACCGGGCAACGCCGGGCTCTACTGCTAGTATATATATATATATATATATATATATATATATACACACATACATATATATAAAATAAAATTCACATTTTATATATATATATATATATATATATATAAAGAAGGAGTGGATATGGAAACCAACACTGCAATGTAGTCTTCAGATCCAGTCTATATGTATGAGCACTCTATTTATTATATATATATTACTTCAAATTTTATTATCGTGGAGACTTTGTATTTGTCTATTTCACATACAAAGAATTTACTATAACAACATTTCAAGTAATATAAATGTCCAATATATATATAGAGAGAGACAGACAGACAGACAGATGTCATCTATAACCTGTCTATAAACACTCTATCACTGCCATTGAACACCATTCCCTATAATTATAGCAGATTTCAGACAAGTGACCTTGACTAAACAAGATTCAGCGTTATTCCTAAACAAAAGAAACTGGGAAGTTTTTTTTTTTTGTTTTTATCATTTCAAGCAAGGCAATAAAATATCTATCTGAGATGAGGTATTATGTATATTATTTACATTATTCGGACTATTGTCCTCATCTTTGTCACCATATTTATTACAATGTTTCGTCCGTTGTACACTCCGGTCTTCTTCAGGTAGTTGGAATGTCGAACTGAACCCTTTATTTAGCTCACTGGGGTAAACTGTTCTAGTTTCACGTGTCATGTTTAATGGATGTCAGTTATCAGTTATCTCCTGTTAATTTTCCCTCTGAAAGTTCTCCACTGCCTTAATCGGGTATTGAACTCACACTCTTTGTGTCCTGTCACTGGATTTAACTAATGCCTTTATCTACTGTTAAGGTGGTGGAGAACTAGGAGAGGGGAATTAACAGGAGATAACTGACAATTGACATCCATAATGTAAATAATAAGGCAATAAAAGCCACTCAGATACAAAGTGTTACTGAAAGTTAGAGGAACAGAATTTCAAGAGACAGAAAATAATTGACATTGAATTTAAATTTTTGAAAATTTTAGTTGACAGGAAAGCAGGAAGCCAGAAGAAAATTTCAAAAGTAAGAATTGCAAGAAAGTGTTAGTCTAGAGTTTATGATTACAACTAGCAGTTTCAACAGTGAAACAATGAGACCTAGCTGCCAATCTAGTATTGCACTTAAATTCAGGAAATCAAGGTACCTACAAAACTTATCAAAACAATTACCTTGAAAATAATTATAAACGAGGTAAAATGGAGCCATGTTATATGGTGGGAGAGTGACTGAAGCAGAGATGCCAGGCCAGGGCTAATAATATTACAGATTATTCTTTGGCTTTTTTCAAGAACCTTTAGACATGTAGCAGAAGTGCCAGACCAGATGTGGCAGCTATATTTGATGCACAGATGAATGGCAGATCTATAAATGTGCAAGATAGATTCTAAAGAGAAAGATTGTCAAGCACAACATAGTAAACTGACTTTCCTAGTAATTGATTCAATACAATCATTCCACTTCAGCCTGAGAAAGCACAGCGTGTTGCTCTCCTGGAGGTTAGCATCAGCAATGCTGATAGAAAGCAAAAAAGAGAGAGCAGTTTGATTTTTGAGATGTTAAAATTAACGAGTGACTTCCAGTTCAAAAGTGATGGTTTCCTGTCCCTCTGTTTCCTTTAATTCACTAGTGACCTATATACACAGCTCACTAAAGGAGTAATGGCACTTGGTCAGAAGATCACACTGAAGTATGAAACTGATAGTCACCATGAAATGTTGATTCCTGTGTGTTTTTTTATGGAGATGAAAAGAAACATAGAACTATTGAGCAAATAATCCTCTTTTTTCAAAGAAATATCAAATACCTACCACTCACCAGTAGAATAATAAATGATAAAACAGCATGTTTTGCTCATAAACTCTCTTCCAATTCTACTCTTGATTCATCTGGAGTATCTTTGCATGGCTTTCCACTTAGAACAGTCTCTCAATTGTGTGATATGCATATAACTCCATTGTTTCATCTATCATCTCTAGACTAGATCCTCACAAAGCATTTGAACTTGATGGTATCCATGCAATAGTCCTTAAGAAATGTGCCCCTGAACTGGCTCCTGTTCTCTCTAAACTCTACAATAAATACCTTGCAGCTTTCCGCTTTATTTGAAATCCTCTTTTGTAGTTCCACTCTTTAAGAACTCAGATGAACCATCTGATCCTTCTATCAGCCTATTAGCCTTCTACCTCTTTTTGGGAAAGTACTAAAGTCTCTAATCAACTCTAAATTGATTTAAACATATCATCGCACTAGGTGTTCTTTCAGATAAGCAATAAAACCTTTACTTCTCTATGTATTCTCTGTATTAACGATTATTGCTGAAAGAGTCTATCAAGCTTTTCATTTGAATAGTGATGTGTGAGCTGTTGCTTTAGATATCTTGAATGCATTTGACAGGATTTGACATACTGATCTACACAAGTTGAAAGCTTATAGTATTTCTGAACAATTTTTTGATCTGTTTCAATTTTTCTTATAAAATTACAAAATAAAAGTTGAGTTGAACAACCACTCTGCTAGATTTTTTTGCATTAATGCAGTTGTCTCCCAGGGCACTGTCCTTACACCTAAGTTGTTTCATAAATGACTCTACTGATGACATCAGTTCTCAACTGGATGTCTATGCTGATGACACAACTATTTACTTATCTTAATAGTAAATCTGATTGATTCAATAAGTTTAAATTGGCAGCTGATCTGAAAAATGACCTGCAATTGGTTGTTAATTGGGACAAGGAATTGCTTTTGGTTTTCAAAAATTTAAATGCAATGTCAATCACTATCTCCTGTCTTCATAATTCCTGTTCTTTTACTATTCTCTCTCCTTATGTCTTAGTGGATTTATTATCTTGCTTGCAGTGAAATGATTAAAAAAAGAAGTCCATCTGGGTCTTTCAACCTGCCAGTCCAGAAACACCTCCATATATCAAGGTCTTCTGTTACTTCTGTTAGTAAAAATAATGAGTTTGTATGCATTGCCGGCTTGCTAGGCCTATAACATAGCTTACAACACTTGGTGTTCCCCAGCAGTCACCCATCTGAATACTGACCAAGCTCAACATTGCTTAACTTTGAGGATCTGATGAGAACTGGTGTTTCATTGTGATATGGCTATCAATACCTACCACTGTTCACAATACTTCACAAGATAATGAAAATGATTTTTATCTTTATTTGAAAACAAAGAATCAATTTGGTGACCTGTGAAAAGAATCCTCAACAAGACACCATCCCTATAAAATCTTTTGACCAAATGATTAATTTTAAAGTTAACAGTTTTTGAATAGTTCTAAAAGTATGGAATTGCTTTGTTTTGTTTTTTATTTTTTTAAAAAAAAGTTATAATCAAATATATTTTGATCCAACCAAAAGTGGGCACTTTTCAAAGACAAGTGATAAACAAGCTTTTCTTGCAAATTGGTTGCTTTTGTGAGTTCAATCTCTACTACATTATTGAGTGGGTAGGGCAATGCAAGATTAAGCTTACCTTAGTAATTATCTCCAACCACTAACATTAGTACAATAACTCATCTACTTTAAAACTGTGTTGGTATCAAGTGATAAAAATATATTTCTAGCAATTTATGGAACTGAAGAAGGTCAGTTACGAGACAGGACAAACAATGTGAATAAATACATCAGATATCATAGTCTAATTTATATTTTCATTAATTTCACTCTAACCTAACGTATTGCAAACACTCCTTTATTTTATTAGGGTCTATTAAAAGTATTGTGATAATATTTTTTATTTTTTACGGTGTGGTTCAACCTCTACAAGGCTCGGGAGCCATCAGAGATAGAGGGTTACAGAGTAAGAAGCATGGTTTATGCAGATAGGTGGGGAAGATAATAGTTAACTCTAGACTTGAACAGATTAAGATTGTTGTGATTGGAGAAAGCATCCTCTTGGGAGTCAGTTCCATAGAGCAGTCATTCATGGGAAGAAGCTGCTTGAGAGGGACTTACTTCTCACCAATGGAATGAGGGTGGTTTGCTATAATGTGAGTGGCATGGCAGTTCCTAGCTATGAACGTTAGAACGGGCAGAACCAAGGAATGCAGTTCGTCTGAGAACTTTCCATGGAAGTAGTGATAGAGTAGTGAAAGGATTGCTACATTCCATCTGTGAGAAAGGGGGGTTGGGTTGTAGGGTGGAAATAATCCATCATACACAAGGTATGGGATTGATGTTGATGTATTGATATCTGTTTCCAACAGAACTAGGAGGTTGGGTTTGGACTCAAGAAGATGGAGTTCCACTTCTGGAAAGTTGGAACATAGACCCCTCACATTGGTGTAAGAGATATTATATATGGGGTCTACATTTTTGTTTTTTTGAGGTTGGGTTTGCTAATTTTGATCATTTTAATCGATTTCATGTGTAGATTGTATTTTGTTTGATAGAAGATGCATAGGTAGTGAGACAGACACACCCACAGTAGATGCATGCATAAAGAACCTGGATTGATTTGTGCAGAGGTATAGCTGTAATAGTACCCTTCATCATGGCATTGAGAGACCCCCACCAGAGACTACTGCACCCCAAATGTACATGATTCATCTACCCAGAAGTCAAGGCAACAGAACTCCTCCTTAGATCAGAAATATTGTACTGGCCAGAGACCTAAAGTATCAAGATAAGCTTGCTCATATATATGAGGACTAAAGACCCACTGGTGTGTGTGTGTGTGTGTGTGTGTGTGTGTGTGTGTGTGTGTGTGTGTGTGTGTGTGTGTGTTTAACAAATATCGCTGGAGGAGATGGAGGTAAGCATCTCCTACTCCCATTTGATTTAATATAATGGAAACAAGGTTACTTAGGTAGGAGAAAGCATAGGTAAGTTATCTATTAGTTACAACCAAACAAAAATTTACAGGTTTTTCAATTGTACATTAACTTAGCAAGGTAACAGAATAATAAAATTCAAACTTTGATATGGCAGGACCCACACCAATCATCTCAATTCAGATTAATATTTTCACCCCAAACATTGACAAAAAAGTAGTAGGCTTGGTGCAAGAGCATTGGGATGAGGTGTATGATTGGTTCAATGTATATGTACTAGTGTGAATTATGGAACTGAAAGCATTATTTACTATTAAGTTACAGCTTAGTGTAAGTTCAAATGTCTCCTAATTAAAAAAAAAATCTGTGCATAGAATTACAACTACACTTATCATAGCCACCAGGATGGAGCTAAAAGTTGCTTTGCAAATTCATTACAAACCCACTAATTAAGAAACAGAACTATAGTACACAGGATAATGTTATTCCAATAATTAAATGCATCAATTTAATATAAAGAGCTCAAACAATTACGGTCAGGAAGCTGGAAAGTAAATTAAGTTAAATATTTAATACAAAAGAAATTAAAGTAAACAATAAAAATAAGGAAAGAAAAATTATCAATAAAGGGACAAAGTTTGTAGAAATACTTGTGTGTAAAGTTATATCTGAATTCAATTGTTCTTATAATTTTGACTTTGCCATTTGCCTAGTTAGAGTGAGACTAGGTTTTCTTAGTGTTTTGGACTAGCGTCTACAGGGTGAGGTGGATAAATTGTCATCTAAATTAGGCAAAAATGAAAATAACAGTAACATCTCATTTTAACAGATATATTTACCAAAATTACAAAAAATATCTTGAAATACTAAAGAGTAAATTTATTCAATAAAATCACCATTGCCATCAACCACAACCTCCAGATGACTTCAGAATCTCTTGCAACTCTTCTGGACAATCTCCTTGTTTAAATTGGTGAATGCTGCCATAATCCTTGCCTTCAGTTTATCTTTGGTGTGACAAGGAGTCTTGTTGATTTCTTGCTCAACTGCACCCCACACATAATAATCAAGGGCATTGCAGTGTAGGGAGTTAAGTGGCCAGATGTAAGGGGGTAATGTGGTTGCAAAAATTGTTTGACAGCCATGACTGGGTTGTGTAGCATGGTGCAGAGACCACTTTCCAGGCATAGGGTCTTCCTTCTTGACCCAGGGCAGCACTGTCTCCTCGAGGCACTTGATGTAGGCCTCCATGTTGAGTTTTAGGCCCTGTGGGAAGATGAATAGAGGCATAACATCTCAATCACTAGTGATCACTCCAAACACCTTCATTATCACCATTAGACTCATCCAACTCTTTCCGAATCCTCTGCACTGTCATTGACACCCAAACACTCTGAAATGTTTTTATTAGACAGAACGTCTAATAAAAACATTTCAGAGTGTGGCGCAAATACCAAGCAGTATGGCATGCTATTTCCAAATTTCTGGCAGAATGAATTGTGACTCTACTGTACTGTGCAGTCAACAAAATCAAAAACAAACAAAATGTGCATGTGTGAAATTAAAAATATAAAATGGCAAAAATTTAACAATCGCACCCCATATATGAAAAGAAATTTTTTATGGTCATCGATGACACATTAAACTCCACACTGTGATGGGTGTGTTTTAACTTTCATATCCAACCCTTCCTCCTATCTCCCTCTCCACCCCCACAAGAATAAGGACAATTCATCTGATACCAAAGATTAATCCAGTCACCAAAAAAGAGTCAACTCCAGAAAAAGTAATGAAAAATAAAAATATTTTTTAACCAATTATAGTTAACCTGAAGTAAATTTAAAGACAATATAATAAGATTCTCCTAAGGATAAAAAAGGTGCAAATTTTTCAGCAGTAAGCCTATCAACCTATCAACTCCAGTGTCAACAAAGAGTCAACTCAGAAATACCAGCCCTCAGCCTGTCTCACGACTCTACTACTTACATTAAATTTTTGAGGCAATACTGGCTGATATACATTAAAAGACCAACTAACACCAGAAACATTGGCAAAAAAATAAATTCTTTAGGGAATATAGCATGCCAGTGCTAAAACACAAATGACTTGCTAACAATTACGATAGTGGTTAGAACCAAAGTGTGAGTTGGAATGCTCTGATATTTGTCTTTTTATCAACCTTTTCTGACAATTTCTCATTTTTATCCAATATTTCTTTTCTTATAAACACTTTTATTATTCAAAATCTACATAGAAATCAACATACACACTTTTACATAAAAAAACCTTTTTTGCAAAACTGTAAATAAATTTTCACTAATGAATATTAAAGCTACTTATTCAAAATTTATTTTATTTTATAAATTCAACTTTGACTAAACAACAAAACCCCATAAGCTATAGTAATGTTTTGTTTTTTCAGACTTTTATTCCAAAGAACATGTACACATCCAAAGACAATCTATGACTCCACTACATTATGAAGATTATTACTATTGTATATTAGAATGTTTCTAAAGTATTTCCATTTTTTACAGACCTTCACTCCAAAGCTTATTTCATGTATACTATAAAAATTTATATGAAAAAAATTATGACCATATATCCATTACCACTAGCAAAGGCTTTATTAACCAATGAGATTTTCGTACTGGACTTTTCTTGATAAACCTTGATTTTGAGCCTCTTTATGCCCACACTATGTCTATCTGGCTCAGGGCAATAAAAATCAAATATTTAGAAAAAAAAATTTAGAAGGAAAACTCTCCCTTTGGATTATTTTCCATTAATCAGAAAAACAGAATTCCACAATCGTGATAATTTGAAAAGATAAGTGAATGAGCCTGACAACCTCAATTTAAACAAGGTCACCAGCTGATGAAAATCACCATTCATTCACACTTTGGCAGTTGATAGTCTCAAAAACATGGGGATAAGCATATCAATTAACATTTTCAGCTGAGAACAAGATGAGGATTCCGAAATGCCAAGTGGCCAAGAAACTCCAGACTACATAACCAAAACTACAAACTGATAATTTGTTCTTCTGAAACTAACCTCAACCATTGCAGACCAAGTCTCCCTATGAAGTCACATTGCTGCTACCAAAATGCTTCATTTGACATTCCTCACCAACAACATTCTTTACTACTACAACTATAAATGACCTCACAACTCGTGACAGGTCAAAAACATGTGAACTTTTGCTGCATCCTTTTGGCAAGGACAATCTTAACTTTTATCAAGTTCCACTTTCACATAAACATTTTTTTCTCTACACAACTTAATTTTTTAATAACTCAAAAGTATATTTTAAGCAAAGCTAT